ATATATACTACTCTTAAGCGGATATATATAGTTTGTAGTTTACGAATCAGTTGTGCATTGATTTACACAAACACATATCGTAACTGGGTGTTATAAAGAGTAATTCAATGCATGATTTGGTTAATAAATTGTATGACTATATAGTCAAAGTCATTAGTTCATTTTGCCTTAGCAAGGAAAACAATATCTTTGGGCCCCTCGATGATTTGTTGCCGACATCTGAAGTGCTTGGCCGAGCCCATACTAAATTGATGTTTTTCAATTAGAAGTTTGAATTCAGTCGTCATAAATCAAGAAATCGAGAAACAGAATCTTGGACTATGACATTGATTCTAATCTGTCTCACGTCCATACGATATCTTGTAGAGCGAAGGAATAGCTGATCACTTATCTTAGGGCCAACGTTTGATTTGAATCAGAGTTCGACAGTAGCTTTGGAAAACACTCTTTGTTGTTTAGTTCAAGGTCTATACTTGCAATTGTAGTTACAGACTTATTCAAGTGGGAAATTGTTGAATAAGGTGTTTAAGCTAGTAACTAAATTGGTATATTCTTATAATTAGAAGCAAAGTCTTATAATTAATATGAAATCAATTAGAATTAATTAAATATTAATCAGAATTAATCTGGAATTAATTTGGGATTAATTGGAATTAATTAAAAATGTAAGAGGTGAATTGTAATTGTTCAATAGTTGAACAAAAGAGACAATTCTAGAAGCATCATGTTGTGGACGGTTTGTGGAGTTCCTTAGGGTTCCCAGAAGCCTCCTGATGGTAAATAAAGAAAAGATTTGTATAGTGATTAAATCTATTATTTAATCATTCAAATCTTGTGTTGTCCCTAAGTTACATAAACTATAAATAGGACCCCTTGGTCATCAAATTTCATGATCTTTCATTCCAAGGAGTATATGAACGAAATTTATACTCTCATCCTCTCTCCTTAAGTGTCTTCTAGCTCTAGGGTTTGGGTATGAGCCATTAGAGGCATCATCCTTTTGGTGCTAAGCTTCCAAGACCTACACTACAAGGAGATTGAAGTGATTTGTTTACTACAACAAATCAAAAGGTGTGTAACTCTATACTTGGTAATTTCGAATTACACTAGGATTATGCTAGGTTTAGTTGTTCATTGTATGTTGCTATCAACGTGTATGACATAGATCTTTTATAGGATGCATGCACTCTATTAATTGTTAATTTTTTCCGCATTGTACAATTTTGTTTCCTATATATCCCATCATTATTAAGATTGCATGTTATCAAACTAACTACGCACTCACATACCAGATAGACATTTAATCTTTTAAAATAAAATATACTTTTATTAGCATCATGTTCATAAAAGTAACTACACACTCACCTGATTAAAAGTGAAAGACTTTCGGGTGAGTTAACTCTTTGCCTAACTTCTAATTTTCCTTTTTAAATGACCTAAATACGAATATTACTACATTTCAGTCATCGTTTATTTTATTCGATACTATTATAACAATATCTCAGATTCCTCATTAATCCTAAGGAATACTAAGTTCTATCAAATAATGTATGACCACATAATATCATATTGGAGGTATGATCTGTTTGGTATATAAATATATTGTTTGGAAAATCCACTTGAAACACTTCACTAAGATCTTGCCTAGACATCAATCGCGTAAGTAGATCAATCGGTGCTATAACCTAAATTACTGATAAATTTTACTCATAAGTTCATAAACATAAATATAAGTTACACTTAAAAGCATAGTAAGTGCAACTAAACTTACAAGAGGCGTACAAACATATTATTGGTTGGAGTCAGGTTGGACGATTGAAGCAGATTAGTTGAAACTGTAAGTGTATCAAGGTCGGAGGCGTACAAACAGATTTCCAATGTTTTAAAAACCGATTTGAACTAGCCGGTCGAACCGGTTGGACCGGGAACCGGTGAAATAAGCGGTTCAACTATCATCGGTTTTATGTCTATTTCTAAACCGGAACGAACCGACCGGTTTTTACAAAAAACACGGTTGAACCGGTTAAATTGTATAAAACACATGAATAAGAACCGTTTTGCATAATAAACTTTTGAGATCTTTTTACATCTATTTAGATTTCTCGAAATAAAAATATATGGTAAATGTTATGAAGTTTTTTGATGCATTTATATTCAACTAAAATTATATTTTGTTTAGGTATTGTAATTTATTTTCTTTTTGATGTATGCGGATTAATGCAAAACTTATTGTTATATGTTATTTTAATGTATTTGAATTAATCTACAACTAATTTTTATGTGTATTTTTAATGTTCGAACTTGTAGACGTCAAACTCTTGATTTATGTATGTATATATGTGTAAGAAAATAAGAAAAAAAGATGAAATTTATAGAAACTGGTTGACTTGGTGGTCGAACCGGTTAAACTGGAAACCGGTCACCATACCGGTTCAACTAAAAAACCGGTTTTTAAAACATTATATATTTCGTAATGAGATGGATATTTGTCATCCCGATGAACGTCACAGATGTGGTCTATACCACCAACCTAGTCATAATAGGAGAAATTGTCCAAATTCTCAACCAAGATTCAGTGAAATGTGAATTATGTTATATTTTATAATTATTGTTGTACTTTAGCGTTTAATCCACATTGTAATTAAGCCTTTAATTCTTATTGTAATGTCGTATTGTAATTTAGCGTTTAATGTCATATGTAATTACATGATTCCGTATTGTAACTTTAGCGTTGAATTTGTACTTTAATTTATCATTTAATTCGTATTGTAATTACATAACATTGTAATATATTAAATAGTGGTATCAATTTGGATTTATTAAAGAGATCTATCTAATGATACAACAGGATAAAAATAATACTATAATTTTAAATATATATTTTGAATAATTTTATTTATATAATATTATGGTTGTCAAAAAGTCCTATAGGGCCCTAATCTCATATGTGAGATATTTGTTAAAAAAAAAATCGGGAGCGGTGACGGGGGCGGGGGTAAGAAGTTCCGTCTCGAACCCCCCATTGGGGCCCGTTAATATATATATATATATATATATATATATATATATATATATATATATATATATATATATATATATATATATATATATAATAACTAATAACAATGATTTTGAGCTTCCAAAAGTCAACAAAAACTCATGTTTTTGAGTTGTTAGTATAACATTTTTTAGATGTGATAATATTTTTGTTTTTTAACAAGTAAAATTATGTTATAAATAATAGTTTTTAGTCCAAAAAATAGTTTATTTAAGCCCAAAATACAATTTTTTTTAGCCCAATAAAAAATATCCCAAAATCAATCGGGAGTGGGAAAACAGGGGCGAGGGTGGGGAGGCTAGAAATTTCGGAGACGGGGGAATGGGGAAATTTCGGGAGTGAGGGCGGGGGATGCAATCTCTGTCCCGTTTACCTCCGATGACATCCCTATATAATATAAAATAAAAGTTATAAATATATATATATTTTTAAAACAAATAGATAAAAAGGAAAAATAAAATATAGGTAAGGGGCTGAAATTGGAAATCTATGTAAATCGGTAATAAAAATGGTGGGCCTTACGTTCAACACCCCCTGCTTCTACCAATCTACTATGATAAATAAAGATTTTTTTGTTACATGTTAATCTGTAATGAGTTTTGACACTTGTCATTTTGTGATATTTTTTAAATAAATAATATCCACGTGTCAATTTATGGTTTTTTTCAATTTTAAAATTAAAAAGCCGCATAACACTTATACTTATATATGTAAAGTATCAAATGTAATAAATATTATACTAAATTGCAATTAACATGTTTTTTCATTCCTTATTTTAAAATTTTATTTTAAAAAATATTTATTATTTACATTTTAATATTTTATTTTCTTTAATCCACTCGTATAATACATGAGTTTTTACATCTAGTACATTTAAAATAGCCCCTCTTTTACCAATACATTTAAAAATGGAGGGCCAAATACCCCAATATTTGCAAATTAATCGGGATCTTGGTGCTTCGCCTATATTCATGGAGGTGGCGGCATATTTTTTTTTTTGTCTTAAACAAAGATCAAGAAAGACAGAAATTGAGGTGCTTCCATTGGTCGTAGAACTAGAGAGGTAAAAAGAGGGGCATGAATTTGTACACAATATTTTTTAGCCATATACAACATTTTATGCTTTACATGATTGTACTGTAAAACTATATAAAACATAATTTGTTGTGTATGTCTAAAAAGTGTTTTGTACGGATCATCACTCAAGAAGTTACGGTGTACACTTACGCCTTGTTCCCGATTTTTTTTTTTTGTAAATTCAATAAAGGAAAATGAAGGAAAATTTTGACAGAAAGAAATGGAGGGGAAGAAAAATATTCATTATTCCGTGTTTCCGAGTTCGAAGGAAATGAAAGGAAAATTTTAAGTATTTGGGTTCCCGAGTTAGGAAAAAAAAACTTAAAATTTTATTTCCCCTCACTTTCTTCCCAAATACGCTCAATTTGGGAGGAAAAATTGGAAGGAAAATATGGCTCCAAAATTCTTTTCCTCCCCTCATTTTCCTTCCATTAATGAAACTCAGGAACACGATTTTCCTTCGACACCCCTCACTTTCTCTCCATGTCCTTCTTTGTTTAGAGATTCTACTAGTGCATTTTTTTTGTGTTCAACGAAGTAGTAGTATTCTTTTCTTTGTGTTTTAACATCAAAGCCACTATAATATTCAAAACAACTATGAAAACAAAGAATTTAACATTCTTTCATTAATTAACCAATAATTACAAAAAGACACACCCAATCTACTACATATTTAAAACAAATCCATGTTTCAACAAAAAGAAATCTCTATACTACTGATTATAAACCTCGACCCTTACAAATAGGGCACTCATTTTGCCGAATCAACCATTCCGTGATGCATCTTGGGTGATACTGATGCTTGCATGGAAGCACTGCTAATCTCTCATTGCTTTCGAATTCAAGTTGGTATGCAACGCAAATATCACCTTCTTCTTCTTTTTTTTTCTTCTTCATAATACTTGGTTAATCGTAGATTCTTGGAGATGAATTTGTTGGTCAATCCGCTGCATGGCACGTGATGACTTGCTGCTTCGTCGAAGCTATCATTGATTATTTCATCCATTATATAAACTTCCTCAGCATCAACATTATCGTATTCTTCATGTTGTTGGTTGGGAACGACAGGAAAACGTGGTACTAATGATGTTAAACCAGTTTCATGTCGGAAGAGATCGTCAAAGTTGACGACTGCTGCCTGGATTTCGTTTCCATATACATACCATGTGTATGGGTAGGGGAGAGGATTGGGATAACACAATAATTGGGCCATACTGCGTTGATTGAAACCATAGGGGTATTGTTGATGTTGAATAAGCAAAGATCGGTTTCCCAGATGTAAGTAGTTTGTAGGACGATACCCAGTCATGAAGTCCATGGAAACAGAGGAAGTTGCAGAAGAACAAGAAGAAAATGATGGTGGGTGCTGATGGGTGAATTGGAAGAAGGGATGTGTGAGGGGTATTATATAGAAATTATAGATGGAGATTTTTTAAGGAAATTTTGAATTCATGAAATCTCGCGGATAAATGTTTCCAAAAATAATTAGGCGTTTGGGTATTGGGTTCATTTCGATAGAAATTCCATTTCTTCGTGAGGAAGGAATCAAGTTAATTAGTGTTGTACGTTTAATTAAAATAGGTGTGGATATTGGAAGATATTGTTTTAATTTAACAGTTAATGTTTAAGGATTTGGTAAGTTACCAAAAATATGTTGTATCTCATAGGCTTAGGTTATTTTGTTTAGAGTATCTATTGTGTTATTGTATTCATAAATGTGGGTCAATCAAATTCATTTATTTTAAAAAAGTGATTAATATATATTATTGAATTAAATATAATTGAAAAATATTATCTTAATTAATTGCAAAAGTATTTTAGTCAATTAATATAGATTTAATAAAGGAAAATTGCATTTTTTAAGGAATCATATCTATTAATTTTAAAAATCCGATTTTACGAATTATAATTCTTTTAATTCGGACATTCTGACAGAATATGTTTATGGGTATATTCAAAAATAAAAATATTCTTGAACCATAAATAATAAAAATATTCTTGAACCTATTTCTTGATCGTGACTTTAAAAATTCATGTAGAATAACAAATTCTTGAACAATCAATTGAAGGATAAAAACAAAAAATACATTATTTCTTATAGAATACGAGTAACAATTGTTAAGAATTACATTTATTGAACAATCAATTCTTGAATAATACTAAAAAAACTTTCAAAACGGGTAAGAAAACATCAAAATCTAACAACGACACTAATACATTCTAAAAGAATAATGTTGCTTATAATCACTTTCAGTTTTGCGGTCCGTTCTTCAAGCATCAACTTCTGTGATTCCAACAGAATTGGAATTCGTGATTCCATTCCAACCGAATTGATCAGTATTTGGAATTTGTGATTCCAACAGAATGGGAATTTGTGATTCCAGCAGATCATGAGGAAAAATTTGTGATTCCAACAGAATTGGAATTTGTGATTCCAACAGAATTGGAACTTATAGTCTTGTACAACCCCATTGGAAAATCAAACTGATCAGTTGGGTAGTGAATCAAGCCCTAAAATAAGCAGAAGCAACAAATATCATTAACAAAATTAAAGAGACACTTCTGTCTTTGTCAAACTGATCAGTTGGGTAGTGAATCAAAAATTTTACCTGTAATTGACACAACTAGAACCCACCATTACCACCCATCATAACCATTCATCATCACCACCCTTGATCAGATACAAATAAGAAGTCAAGTAGGGTGGAATCATGTGCAAGGTTTTAAAGAGAGAGACACTTCTGCCTTTGTCACTACACCAACACGGAATCTTCTCACGAACCCTAGCTCTGCTACCATCAGACCACTAACAGGCCATATCAATTGTCGAGTCTCCATTTTGCATTCAATGTTATGTGTAATTCCATCAACAAGCACCATCTTCCTCATTCTTGTCCATCAAACACCTCTACATACCACCACAGATCAACAACATCAATGAATTCATCCTTATGAATCCAAAAAAAGAAATAAAAAATAAGAAGGGAGAAGAAGGGGTTATGATCGAAGCAAGGACAAGAAAAGAAATTGAAATACCTGCAATTTGTTTAGACAGATGGAAGGTTTGATTTTAGGAGGCTGTGGCGACGTCGATTTGGTGGTGTTCCGGCGAAAGATAGTTTACATCAGAGACTCGATCTTTATTGCCTCAACGTTTTATCTTCCTTATGTCGTTAGTCTGCAGATCATCTTCTCACGAACCCTAGTTCTGCTACCATCAAACCACTAATAGGCCATATCAATTGTCGATTCTCCATTTTGCATTCAATGTTATGTGTAATGCCATCAACAAGCACCATCTTCCTCATTCTTGTCCATCAAACACCTCTACATACCACCACAGATCAACAACATCAATGAATTCATCCTTATGAATCCAAAAAAAGAAATAAAAAATAAGAAGGGAGAAGAAGGGGTTATGATCGAAGCAAGGACAAGAAAAGAAATTGAAATACCTGCAATCGATTTAGAGATGGAGGGTTTGATTTTAGGAGGCTGTGGCGACGTCGATTTGGTGGTGTTCCAGCGAAAGAGAGTTTATTTTTAGGCGGCTCCAGCGACAAGTCGGCCTGGATCTTCTCGGGGGATTTGTCGTGAGGTTGAGGGGAGTCGAACAGTGGTGGTCCCGTCGAAGTTGTGGAAGCGGCGGAAGTTGTGGGTATGAGTTTGGTTCATACCCTCTACGACAGTGAGGGGTTCCTCCATGAGTACCTTCGATTAGATGTACAGTAATTCTCAACCCTGTAGGATGCTATGGGGTGGGAGATTGAGGAAGACACGCTTATTTATTAAGTCAATACCATGATTAAAAGAATTATTTTTGGAATTTACTAAACAAATTACTAAATTACCCTTATTTATTTATTTAATTATTTAATTTTTTATTTAATTTTGATTGGCCTACATTTATGCATACAATAACACAATAGTTATTTTAAACACGTGAACCTATCTCGTATCTCATATATGTAATTAACACTCTCATTGGTTTACTAAAAAATGTCCTGAAGTCTATTAAAATAAGGGAACATAATAGAAATATTTTTTTTTTGGAATCCGGGGAATATATTAAAAACTCCACACCAACACGATACGAGGGAAAGAGTACAAATTATAAAAGTAAAAAGCAAGAGAAATTACAAGCAATGAAAAGAACATAGATTCCACGCTCTCCAATCTACTCTTTTGAATAAGCTTATGTGTTTGCACCAAATGAAAGTTAATCACTTTATCATTTCCACTATATTTGCCGGAACAATGGGAATATTATCGAAAACTCATTTGTTTCTATCAACCCAGATACACCACAACGCTCCACATAGTATCACATTCAGCAAACTTTTTTTTCTTGTTGCACCTAGACCACCGTGATATGAAAAGTAGCATATTCTTCACTAAAGTAAATTTGTCACACCTGATTTCACACCAAGCAAGAATCGAATCCATAACAGCCTTCGCCATCGGACATGAGAGCAAAATGTGATCACTAGTCTCCTCCTAAAGATTACATGCACCACATATCGTAGATGGAATTGTAATCCCCCTTTATCTTAGCGTCATTGTTGATGGTATTCTTCCCTTAGCTCTCCAAATGAAGCATGTAATCTTAAATGGGGTCACCTTACCCCAATCTAATGGTCCATCATTGACCACATAGTCTGCTAATTCAATTCGTTCGCGTAACTGACTCACAATAAAGCGACCATCAAATACGAATTCCGATTCCCATCAGCCATCGAATGAGTTCTAATATACAATTTCCTTAGGATCAATGTTGAAATTCTTCAAACTCGACCGAGATTTAATTATGTTTTTCCACACCCCATTACTAGATTTATTAGCAAAAACAGACTACTGTCTCCATTCTAAGTTGTGGATACTCTGAATGGCTTTCAACCATAAGGCTAAGTTATATGTTTTCAAGCGCCAGATCCACATAACTAACAGGGAAATATTGAGAGATTTAATAGAACCGAGTCGGATACCACCCGCCTTTCTTGGAGTTATAAACTTTTCCCATGCAACCCAACAAATACCTTTTTTTTATCATACTCCCTACTCCAAATAAAATTCCTTCTAATTCTTTCCAGGGTTTCTATGACTCATTTTGGGATTACAAAGATGGACATAAAGAAAGTAGGGAGATTACCAAGCACCGCCTTTGCAAGAGTTACTCTACCACCAAAACTCATCGATTTTGCTTTCCAAGACGAAAGCTTTGCATGGAATTTATCAATAATCGACCTCCATGCATTTTTCAAATTCATGTTCTCGCCCACCGGAATGCCAAGATAAGTGAACGGGATGGATGATGGTTCACAACCAAGAGGAGCAAACCAATTTAATACTTCCATATGAGATGCTCCCACCCCATATACCTTCGACTTCCTGAAGCTCACCTTCAACCCCGACGAGATATGAAAGCATCTTAAGATCCGAGCCAAATTAGCAATATTGCGCCTCGACCATTCTCCAATAAATAATGCATCATCTGCATAAAATAATTGGGACAAACAAATGTTAGAGTGTGGAAATTTTATCCCATCGAAAACGCCTTTTTTCACCGCTGTCTTCATCGCCAGGTTTAGCCCTTCCATCGCGAGGATGAAGAGGAATGGAGAAAGTGGGTCGCCGTGTCTGACCCCTTTTGGCATTGAGAATTCTCTAGTTGGGCTACCATTAATGATCACCGAAGCTCTACCAGATTCTAGACAACATCTAATCCAGAGTCTCCATTTCCACCCAAAACACATTTGTTCCATGATTGAATCCAGGAATTCCCAATTCACAAAATCAAATGCTTTACCAAAGTCTGCTTTGAATAAGAGCATCTTTCTACCCTTAGCCTTTGCCCAAGAGCAAAGTTAAGTCTCAAAATACATTATGAGAATGATTGTTGACAAAATTATTTGTAATGATGTATTAATGGCAAACATGTTGCATGTTAGTATTAACTCGATTAAAACTTAATAATTAATGTTTGATTTGATATAAGATATAGTAAGAGGTTTGATAGAGAACCAAATATTATACAAAAAAATTTACTCTAAGGGAGGAGGGAGTCATTACCTCCCAATCCACTCAACCCACTGCCACATCAGTTTTTCGTTTTTATTTCTGTTCATCTTTTCCAACCCACAACACATGAAAATTCTATCTTTCTCAACCCATTCAACCCACTCAATTAAAAAAAATACAAAACAACTAAAGTACAAGTCTTAATTAGCAATAGAGCTACCGTTGGTACCTCCAAGATACCACTCCCTCTTTAGTGGGTTGGGAGGGTTGGAGTGGTGGGTTGTTTAATTGGTTTTACTA